ATTTCTTTTATTATAATACATTTTTAACGTCTTCTATTTTTTAAAGCATTGAATATTCTTGCTGCATCATCATAGAAGATTTTGCCTTTACTAGGTATTTGTCCATCTTACATCAGTGCATAAAAAATTTGAACGTCTTACATGAAAAAACCTTACCTACGGTAAACACGTGGTTGCAGAGAAATGTGTTCTGAAAGGGGTTCGGTTGTGTTCTGTTGTTCGAAAAGGTTCTGAACAATACTGGTAAATAGGGAAGCTAGATAACGGAGCAAGTGTTGAAAATAATGAAAGATCCAGGAAGAAAAGTGAAACGGATATTATTCTAAATAGCGTAATTCGAAGCTTCTTCCAAAATGCGAGAAATTCGCGAATTTCTCGCCGTAATAATTTTTTAATGCGAGAAAAGAAAAAAATATGCAAGATTCTCGCGCTGTAGTGAAAACACTGCTAGACCTCTTTCTTTTTTTCTTTTTTTTGCTGAATGGTACTGTCCCATAAAGCCGGGGCGTAGTCAGCCTCACATAACCACTGGTAGCTATATTTTTTAACACTCCAAATAAAAATTCCTGCAAGATTAGTTACGATACATCAACAATAGACACATGAGGCCTATAGCGTAAGAGAAATACAATAAAATTTTTATTAGTAATTTATGTTCTTGTATCTGGTTCATTCACTTAATTTTGCGAAAAATTCCAAATATGTTCCTAATTTTCCTTGATTTTTTAAACTCCTGAAAGCTTCTCAGTGCAATAAAATCAAATTATTATTTTTGTTTCTATGAAAATATTCAAGTAGGAAAAAAAAGAGTTTTTTTTTCCTTCCATTTCTATATATACCGAGTTTTTGCATACTACCATAGAATAACCAATTAACACTAAAACAAATACAGCTTTTTTTGTTCTTTAAAAATATTTTATTTTTTAAGTTGATCTGAAGATCGATCTGATTTCATAAATAACAATTTAAGCAATTCTGTTTATGAAGTGATTATGAAAAGAAAACTCAAGTACCCGGTTTTGTGCACCATTACCGTATTTATAAAATTTTCTATAATCAAAATTTCGTACGAAATTTTCCAAAACTTTTTATTCAAAATTTTAGTTTTTATAATATTTAAATATTGATCGTCCCTTCATTAACCTACAGTAATTTTGAATTGAAAAAATTTTTGCTACAATTAACTACAGTTTCAACAATTACGTTAGCAAACGTTCTAATTTTTAATGATTACTACTTTTTAATAACAAATAAAATTTGTTCTTCAAGAAAAAATATACAATTTAATAAAAAATTATTAATTTAAAAATACTGCTTTATAATCTTTTAGCAACGCTAAATAGCCGCCACCTTTTCCTTAAAGTTATCTTAACTAGTATAAAAGGAAATAATTTAAACAGCTTGATATTTATTTGAATGTCAATTTATGTTTTAGCAAAATTCGTAAAGGATTCTCTGTTTAATTGACTATTAATAGTTATTTCACTACCACTTGAGAATATCTGCAATGAAGAGCAAAAAAAAGGGCAAACAGATATGCATTTAAATATATTCTGTTCACATGTGCATGAACAATTAAAAATGTGTAAAATAAACTAATTGGGGAAAAGATTTATGCTATTAGTTTTTCGCAATTAATTCAAAATACTTTTAGAAAATCAAATAAAGAGAAGTATCTATTCTATGCATTTTTCATAAATAACAGAACACACTAAAATAGCTTAAACCTAAGTGAGATTAGCAGATTAATCCCACTTTTTATGAAGTTAAAAACACTCTCAAAATAAAGACCTATCAATATATTTTTAAAAAATTTTAATCAATGTTCTAAAAAATTTAAATTATTTTATATAAATTTTTAAAAAAATCTTAACTGATATTTATATAAATAAAAACATTTAGTATACTTGTTTGTAATAAAAATGTCTTAATGTATGTCAAAAAAAATCTTTCAAATATTTTATTTAAACGTAAGCACTATGTTCTGAATGATAACATTAAAATCATTCGTGATTTCATCGTAAATGAATCGAATTGAATCTCTGAGTCAGCAACAGCGACGAAATTTGAACCCCTTCCAATCCTTGAAATCAGTGCGACGGCGATTGCTGGCGATTTGTTGCAGTCGCAACAAAGCACTATATGACTTTAAGCACTTAGAGCACTATATATTTTAATATAGTGCTATATTTTAATTATACTTGAGGCAATGAGAAATATGTAGTTAAATTAGAGCTCAGCTGAGCTACTTTGAACATCGAATCTAAGACTATGATACGATTTCAGGGAAATTATTGCGTGATGTCAGCTTTACGAGGTGTGCAGTCATTCAAAAGCAGGTATGAAACATCAAAAAAGAACTCTTTTTCTTAAGAGGAAGGGGGGGGGTGTAAAAATGGCTGTTATGGGTATTTCTATAATTATATATCTTCATAATAAACATAAATGCATGAAATTTTGATTTAGTATACTTATATTTTGACTTGAAAAAAGTTTTTTTTTTAAAAAAAAAAAAACNCTCCGTATTAAAGAGATTTTTGAAAAAAGTTTTTTTTTTTTTTTTTTTTTTTAAAAAAAACTTTGAGGCTCACGTGTATCTTTAAAAACAAAATAACAAATAGCGAAAACTGATCAAAATAGCTTTGAGTGGCACATATAGTATTCAAAAGGGTTTGATCATCTAACTTTTATTTAAGAATAATATGACAGTAAATTGTTTGTTACTTATGGGGGGATTGGAACTTGCTTTTTAAATTAAGAGATATTTGAAAAGCAAGGATCTTATGTATGATATGAATAAAGCAAATCCTCTGTAATAAAAACTCGGATATCGATAAAACTTTCGAATGCAAAAAATATTTTTAAAGCGATGCCTTTTAGTGTGACTAGTCCCGCAGTGGACTGATCGTTAAGACACGGTTCCCAGCAGGTCACTGAAGTCAAGCATCACTGGCTACGGTCAGTGTGCGGGTGGGTGACCACTTGGATTAGCCTGCGTAGGGACCGAGGGTGTGCGGTATTGGTCCTTGTTAAACTGTTCTACCGTAAAGTGCTCAACTTCGCGTGCAGGTCGTCGGGCTATCGAAGCGGGGGTGCCATCCCCTCTGCAGAGGATCAAAATTGCGATGGCATATCTTCGGATCATCCTCAGGGATGTTTCCCAGACCGTCGCCAATAGCCCATTGTGCAGCTCTAGTGCGACGTAAATGAACAACAACAACATCAGTGTGACTAGGCGCAATTAACTGTGCTTCATAATGAAGAAATTAATAAAAAGTGTTAAAATGTCGAAAAAATAATTTGTAGGTTTAAAATTTAATTATTCATTAAAAATAGGGCAATAAAATTCATTTTCAGCAGAATTAAAGTTTTTTTTTTTTTTTTTCTGAAGTGGAGTAGGTTTAAATGTTGTTTATTTCTATATAAAAAAAATAATGCGGAAAAAATGGATTCTTAACAGAAAGCATGTTATACACAATATAAAATGCATAAAAATAGTTAAGAAAATAAAACGTTTTTTGCAATTTTCCCTGAATATTTCGAAAATTATCTGATATCATTAAAAAAAAAATTGAAGTATAAAATAGCTTTAAAAAAAAAAAAAAAAAACACAAACATTCGTGAGAGGGGAATTCAGTAAACTATCTTCACGTTGATTTTTTTTTTAAGTGTCCGGGATAGCCTGGTTGGCAGGGCACTGGGCCCATGTCGAAGCGATCGTGGGATCCCCGCCGGCCGAAGACTCCTCGTGTATCAAATGGTAACTGATCAGGGGCGTACGCAAGGGGGGGGGATAGGGGTTTAAACCCCCCCCCCTTGAGCTCAGACAAAGTGAATTTACAAAATAATACAGACAAAAATAAAAATTTTAGTAGAAATTATGCGGGTTATTATTTTTTAAGACTATATATTTTTATTTGCCTTATGCCTACTTTTTTTTCTTAACGTATTNAGAATTAAAGTTTTTTTTTTTTTTCTGAAGCGGAGTAGGTTTAAATGTTGTTTATTTCTATTTAAAAATATAAAAAAAATAATGCGGAAAAAATGGATTCTTAACAGAAACCATGTTATACACAATATAAAATGCATAAAAATAGTTAAGAAAATAAAACGTTTTTTGCAATTTTCCCTGAATATTTCAAAAATTATCTGATACCATTAAAAAAAAAATTGAAGTATAAAATAGTTCAAAAAAAAAAAAAAAAAAAAAAAAAAAAAAAAANTAAAAAAAAAAAAAAAAAAAACACAAGCATTCGTGAGAGGGGAATTCAGTTAACTATCTTCACGTTGATTTTTTTTTTTTTAAGAGTCCGGGATAGCCTGGTTGGCAGGGCACTGGGCCCATGACGAAGCGAGCTTGGGATCCCCGCCGGCCGAAGACTCCTCGTGTAGCAAATGGTAACTGATGCACTTTATATCTGTTGGGTAATAAAGTCTTCCATGTTCCCAGAACAAATCAATATTTCTGTGGTACTGATAGAGGACCTCCCTTACCTTCTGGATTGGGATAAAAAATTGCAAGAATGCGGAGTTGAACATTGGTAGTCTGCTGAAGCCTAGAATCGGGTCAGCTGTTCAACGATGGTTACAGAATAAAAATATTGTTTAAGGTAGCCGTGGTGGCTCAGGGGATAGAGAGATCGCCTCCCAAAGAGGTGTTTGGTAATTTCTTAAATAATAATAATAAGGAAACTAGATTATTGATTTATTTTAGTTCGGTAACAAATTTTAAAACAATTAAAAGCTTACACAGCCAACTGCAACGAAGAAAATTTTCAAAAATGAGAGCGAATCGTTGTATTCTAGTAGCTATATGACAAGCCTCATAATAAAAGTTCAGCTTTTTTACTGTATTTAACTTTAACCGTTATCGTAAAACCAGCTCCGGCGTTTCTCAGAGCCATTTTCTTTTATCTTTACAGTGGACTTTGTACTTTGTCGTGTCCCGTCTGCGTGATAGTAATTTATTGTTAGAATACTGCTGTTTTTTTTCTAAGATGAGTAACGAAGTAAGTCTGTTTTTACTTTAATATTTGCTGTTAAGTTTAACAAGTATATTGTCGATTTTCAAAATGTGAATGCTATCCCTTTTGTGTTATTTTATTATTTTCACATTGGAATGAAAATGGCTGAAAGTTCATATTATCTCATATGTATTATATACTGCAAATTTGTCTAGCGAATGTAATTTTTGTAATAAGTTTTTGTTATTTATTGTATTTAAACTATAAGAGACTAGTTTAATGAAGTTCCATTGAATAATTCGAAATTATAAAATTTTTTTTCGAGAAATTTATTTCAATGTATAACCACTTTTTGTGTGAATCAACGTTTATACATTTAATGTTAAGGATTAAATGTAATTCTTTTAATTGCTGCAATATTTCTTTTGACAAAATTCGTATTTTATGTTAATGATTATGCTTATTGTTAAGGTTTAATATTGCAAATTAAGACGTTTTCGTAGCAAAGATTCGATTAGTTGCGGTTGTAGAATTGTTTGCCCTGAATTTTATGTATTAAAAATTTGTCTGATTTATTGAATGTAATTTGGTTTAATTTGACGTAATGTACATTATATAAGTAGTTCTATTATTGGTCTACTGGATGGTTTTTTCTTTTGATTTTAATTTCTGAATGAGTCAGTTTGACAACCTGTGCTCAAGGAAAAGCATAAATTAACTTATTTTCCCATTTCACTTTTTTAAAAAAAAACTTAGTCTTGCCCTTTTAATGTTGACCTGTTAAAGTCAGTTATTTGGTAGTATAGTTGCGAAAGAATGTTGTTCATTTGTAATAAAATTTAAAAAAAAAAATAAAAATAATAAAATTTGTTAAATAGAAAGTTATCTAAGTTAATTAGAATTATTTTGAGGGTGAGGTCCTTGAACCCTGGTTTGTTTAAAGTTTTGTATTACGTTGATGTATAGTTACACATAATTTTAAAACAGTGTAAGATGAAATGAAAATTCTTGTATGGTTAGGCTAAAAAGAAAAAAACAGGTTATATTTTAATAGATAGGTGTATTGCTACCTTAGGCTACATTAGAAAAAATAATTTCAACCTATAAGATTTTTAAATGAATATTAATTAAAATTATGAGGAAATTTTCTTTTGATCAATTTTTAAAATTTGTCAAATTTTCTAGTTAACTTATTAAACTTCAAGTTTGTTTTTAATCTATATGAAATATTTGCTTAATTTTCTCTTACTCAAACATCTTATGAATATTATAGCATGAAAGTGAGCCTGAACAGTTTCGTAAACTCTTCATTGGTGGGCTGAATTATAAAACTTCTGAGGAGACCTTGAAATCTTATTTCGAACAATGGGGTGAAATTGTAGATTGTGTTGTCATGAGGGATCCTCACACCAAGCGATCAAGAGGTTTTGGATTTGTAACCTTCAAACGAGCCCACATGGTAGATGATGCTCAAGCTGCTCGTCCTCATAAGATTGATGGCCGAGAAGTTGAACCTAAAAGAGCAGTACCCAGAGAAGTAAGATATTCAATTCATTGTTTTGTTTTTGTCAATAGTGCATTTGTATAGATCTGTATTATTTTGTTGCCTATTTAAAATTAAGATTCAGGTAAGACAGAAGTGTGCAGGCTCTTTTTGGTAGTGGGCAGCAAACTAAAACATTTTTCTTAGGTTTTCTTTCATTTACATTTTTATGTTATGTCTAAAACTGTTAAGGAATCTACTTGTCAATTTACAGCTGCATAAGTTCAAGGCAGTTCTAATTTTCTCTTTGGGATTAAAGCAACTTAACAGACTGTTGCCTATATATATCTGCAAACAGTTATATGATTGGTTTTTACTTTCCTATTTTAATGCTGGAAATAAATGAAATGTTTTTGATATTAATGCTAGAAATTACGTTAAATAATGTTATATATTTATTATTTATCTCTTAATTTGAGTAATATAGTTTATTTTTTAATTATGACTGGCAGGTTTTACTGTTTTTTAACCTTGTTTTTCGTCATGTCAAAGACTGGTTTTGATGAGATTGTATTTTCATTTTATTTTAACTAAACAAATTTGAAGAAACATGTGTCACATTGCAAAGCATCTTAATTTTATGTAGCATTTTGATAAAGTGCTTAAATGTGCTTATTTTTGTTATTTGAAAGCCTTCAAAGGTGCTTATTTTTTATTAGTCTTATTTAAAACCCCTAAAGGTGCTTTTTTCATTGGGCATTTTTAAAAAGTGCCGCATATTATTAAATCACCACATATTATGCAAAAGCGTGTTTTTCACATTGTTCTATTCAACGTTTTCATACATCATTTCGGCATAATGCATAGCGTGTGAAAGCGCAAATTATTTTACATGTTTGATGAAATTCCTTTTTGTATGTGCACCTACGGAGCTGGGTTTGATGATATTGCCTTCACATGTGCAACTCTGTTGCATTTTGCAAGATATTCTAGATTTCAGACTTCATTTTCCACTCTCTGCTATCAAACTGAAAAACCTCTTTATCATTTTATAACGGCTCATATAATCAAGAAAGAGTTCTTTGTCAGAAACTAGTTATTTTCTCATGATCATCTTAAGTCTTAATTATTTTACAATTTGTTTATGTATGTAGTGCTTAAAAAGTACTTAAAAGGTGCTTATTTTTTCTTGAAAGATTTAAGCACCCTGTTTTAAGAAAAATGATGTTTGACAAATAACTTAGTTGATAAAAGTATAGTGTATTTTTCTGTTATCATCAAATTGGTGTCAAGTATTTTGAATGAAAAAACTATTTATTGAAAGTATATTTGAATTTGTTTTATTATACATGTTTACATGCATTTTAAATAGTTTCTAAACATTTCATACATTACTCTAAAAATTCTTATTCGATTACCTTTATATATCTTGCTCAAATTGTCTAGTCCTAGAATTCTTTTGTAAAATTTTTGTTGTAAGAAAGGACACAAGAGGTAGACTTAATTTCTCAGGGTAAACTTTATCATAAAGATTTCAATATGCCCATGATCTCTTACAGATATGAGGTTTGATAGTATATTAAAATAGAATATATATGTACACAAACCAAATTTAATTGTAAAAGAGATATCGTTAGCTGCGCTATAATATATATTTATTAGATAGTTTTATCAGTCAAGAGTTAAGTTTTTATAAGTTTTTATATCTCTTGGATGTCAAATACCTAACAGTGTTTATGATGGTTGGAGTTAAATTTTAGTTCCAAGAGCAACAAACCGCAATTGAATTAAAACCCTCAGCATTTAAAAACTTATAAAATATAGAATTATTAAATAAAAATATTTTTCACCTATCTGACCTTTTTTTAAATCTCTTTATCTGGGTGTAAACTTTTGCTTCTTAAATGCCGTTATAATCTATTCCTTTTTACTGACAATATGCCTTTCTGATTTTTTCCAAGTTTTTATTAAAAATATTGCTTCTATCTGTATCAGGGTTGTCACTCCACAGTGAAAACCTGGAAAGTAGAAGGGAATTTAAAAATCTAAAATAACGGAAAGTGCAAGGAATTAGGTTTTTTCTTTACAAACTGAGAAAATTCAGGGAATTTTGTTATTTTTGTCTTATAAAAAATGGTAGCCACTCAAAGTGTAATCAATGAGATATTTAACCATGATATTTCAGCTCTACTGAGGTATTTATTTACTATAGCATTAATTAAGTAGGTTCAGCTGTTTTCTAGCAATTAAAACTAATAAATGTAGTTAGCCCAATAAAGCTCACACAGGAGCACAGTAATTGTTGTTTCCTCTTAATATTTTGTATGTAATATGCTCAGGAAAAGCACGGGGAATTTTTCTCCAGATTTGAGTGGCAACCCTGTGTATGTATTTGTATACATAACCTCTATGAGGGCCACTGTAAACATGGTAATTCGTTTCCTTATACCTCTTGCTTCCTCAGTGTGCAGCTTGCTTTAGGTTGTGTTTGTACTAGAGTATCTGAGTAAAGTTTGAATCTTAAGTGATTATTGTAGGCAAAAACAAAATAGAATACTTATAAAAATTTTGTTCTTAAATAATTTATTGCAGTTATACTCGCATATTTGTTTTTTAAAATTCTGTTTATTAAAGATTTATATTTTCAATAGGATTCTGGAAAGCCTGAAGCTCAAATAACAGTTAAAAAGTTATTTGTTGGTACTTTAAAGGATGATGTTGAAGAGGAAGATTTAAGAGATTATTTCAATCAATATGGCAATATTGTTAGTGTTAGTATTGTGGCTGACAAAACAACTGGCAAACGAAGGGGTTTTGGATTTGTTGAATTTGACGATTATGATCCAGTAGACAAAGCTGTTTGTAAGTGTCTAGTAAATTTGATAATTTTTTCAGTGCCTATTTTTTTTTAATAAATTAATAAGTTCATGCAGCTCTTAACTTTTGTTAATTATGAGTTATTTTAATTATTCTTATTATCTTGAGCTTTCATTTTTCTGAATTGGAGAATTTTCCCCCTTTCATTATAAGGATGACAAATGCCCCCTTATTTGTATATAACTATTAATCTTGTTTTAAATTTTCATAAATGTTTTTTACATTGAAGAAAATGACAATTTTTTTTAAGTTAATAAGGTAATTTAGCTGATATTAGTTAATATATTCAACATTTGTTTTTAGTACGAAAACATGTAATTAAAGGAAAACGATCAGAAGTAAAGAAAGCCCTCTCAAGACAGGAAATGGATAACATCAAGAGGAAAAAGGAAATGAGTTCTTATGGTGGAAGAGGTGGCAGTGGTGGAGGTAATTTTTATCTTTTATTAGTTTTAAGATATTAGTCTATGTTTGTTAGTTGCAATTCGTATGTGTAGTAGTTTTAAAATAGTTCTCTTTTTGCATTCTGTATTATGTTAATCTGATGTGTACTTTTTCAATTGAAACAGAGAAGTAAAGGTTATGTTCATTGATTTATCCATTTTGAGGTGTGTTCATAAGCCTAGGTTACTTCCTAAAGTTAAGGTTAATTTATTATGATAGGCAAATAAAGGTCAACCAGAAATAGTGACATGAAATAGAATTCTTCTGGAGGTGGGCAGAAGCATTTAAGGCAGTTTCCCAGTCGTGAAAATGTTATTAAAAGTAATGTGTAGAGAACCTTAAAAATTCTTTACTGAAGTTCTTCGCAATTGTAGATTTTTTACCTATTGCCAGTAGAAATAAGTACTTTTTACAGTACTTTTTTTTTAAACTTAAAGATAATTTCAAACAGAAAAAAATACTTGTCAAAATAAAATTTAAGTTATTCACTTCATACATTTAAAGTAAATTTTTTTCTTCGTATTATGGTCGAAGCTTCTTGACCTTTAAAACTTAATTAAATTTTTTCTACTTTTCTCTTGACAAATTTAGCTTGCAGTACAGAATTTTACAGAATGAGTTTTTTTATTTTTATTAAGTACCTCATGTAAATATCGTTAATACCCTTAGTTGCTTGCCACCAGTGTAAGTAAATCGGATTCTCAAGTACTGCTTTATTCTTCCAGACTTATAGATATAAAATAATTATTACCATTTAATTCCCCTTTTTTATGAGTAAAAAAAAGTAAGTAGTAAAGATGTATATTAAAAGTGGAGAATTGTTTTACTAACTGTTTTTTAAAAATTTTAGGTGGATATGGTGGTGGTTATGGAGGCAGTGGCGGAGATAGTTATGGCTATAGTGGACCTAGTGCTTGGGGAAATGGAGGTGGTTACGACAATGGCTATGGTGGTTCCAGTTATGGCCCTGGTAAGTTTTCACTTACCTTATCTCTCTTAATGATGCAAAGTATCTTTAATTTGTTTTAAACATTTTTTTATTTGTGCTAGGTGGTGGAGGAGGCTGGGGCAGTGATTATGGCTCTGGTGGAAGTTATGGCGGTGGTCCAATGAGAGGAAGTGGTGGCTACTCTCAAAGAAGTCAAGGTCCTTATGGAGGAGGTCTGTTTCTTTTATTTTCTGAAAGAGGTTATTAACTGTTAACTATTTTGCTCATTGTTATGCTTATTAATATTTTTAGGTGGAAGAAGTGGTGGTGGTGGATATGGTGGTGGCTACAGACGATAAGTTTATTCATTGTCTTAGGGTTAGTAAATTATTTAAATTCTTATATGAAATTTAACATGTTCTAAATTTTGACTAAATTTAATGATGATTCATTATGCATGTTTTTCTTTGTTTTTTTTTTAAACAAAGTTTAGATTATGGCTTGAAAAATTTACTTTAAATAGTGAAAAGGACGTGCTCAGTTAAATATAAATTCTGTTCAGGCGTGCAGCTAATTTGTTAGTTTCTAGGTGACAGCTAGAGGCTATAATCAACTCGTGTCTAGAAGCTATATTACAATTAGTGTTCACCCCTTCAGATAATTCCTTCCTTGAGCTGTTCCTTTTTGCATATTTTATCAGTTGGTAGTTGAATCAATATGTCAGTGTTTAATTTGATTTTGTGCTTTCAGTTCTTGGAAGTATCTTCAAAATTCTAAATTTGATTTTTTAAATTTACTCTGAAGTGCATGCAGTTTATAGATTAATCTTATAAGTGTTAAGATACTAATTTAATGTCAAGAATGTTTCGATGTAATTACTGAGTTTTTTTATATTGAATCTTGCATTTTTAATCTAGGAATGTTTTAAACTGTCATAGCCAGCTCCCCACAGTATAGGCCAAAACGCTGTAGGTGATAGCAGTTAGAAGGAGGTTAGTGAGAGGAACGAAGTTTGCTAGGCAGGCACCAAGTTAAGGAAACTGCTAGGTCAGCTTAGTTCTTCAATGCCAGAGAGAGGAGATTTAACTACAGCTGCGGTTTTATACTGTCTTCATTTTACATTCCGATATAAGTAGTTCAGGCGATAGTTTTTAATTCCCTAAGACTGAACTGAATTTTTGTAGCTTTTCAGATGATCAACCTAAAAAATTATTTTAGCTTTCATTGTAAGACGTGCAAACCGTGATGTGAATTATTTGTCACCCATTTTTTTTTTGCAATTCGATGTCACCTGGAGATCCATTTATTCAAATAAATGTAACTCACATATAGATGTCTAGAAATTTTCACTTATTTTTTTCATATTATACGTCATTTCTAAGTGTTTTACTTACATTAGCATTTCTTTCCCTTACACTTTGATTAATAAAGAATTATGTTAAGTTTTTATATTTGTTGTAGTCTGCTTTAATAAAACAAGTACATAGATATTCAGATTATTCCATTTTTACCAATTTAAAAGCTTCATACCTATATCTTTTATAGATTTTTCAAATTCTAAATTATGCACCCTTACGAGAAGATTCAACATTTCCAAAGTTTATTTGACTGTGTTAAGTCTGCAGCTAAAGTTCAATTTTAATGGTTTTGTCTTAAATGTAAAAGATAATTTGGTGGGGCTTCTTAGAAATGGTATTGTCAATGTTATTTAGCATGGACTTGTGCAGAAGTTTTGATCTTAATTTAGGCAAAGTAAAATTTTCAGCCAGGCCACTCAAACCATCTTAATGTCGAAAATTTTGATAGTTTCATTGGGAAGGAATCAACAAATTGCTTCAAATATTTGGGTGGGACTTTCATATTTACTTGTCATATTTAAAAATGTAATTGTCATAATGTAATCTTATGTCTTATATGGGGAAGATAAATTTCAAGAATCTAAGTTGATCTTATGGTACAATTTATTGAGAAAGATTTAAATCTAATGAACAACAGTTCAGTAGTCACAGGATTTTTAAAATTGATTTAGGAAGAATTGTTCAAAAGCAGTTTTTTTCTTTCTTCCAAATAAATGTTAAGTTGAAATTTATATTGTGAAAAACATAGATTCAGAAGTATGAAGTTCTGACTATAAAGATTATTTAACAAAATTGTAATTTTAAACAAAATATTAGATATTCGGATTGGTTTTAAGTGATAAAATTTCCATCGATTGTTAATGAGTATAATTTTGAAACTTAACAAAAGAATCTTAAGTGTTACAATTAAATTATTTTTCATTTATATTTTATTAAAATAAGATGTAATTAAATTTAATATAAATCATTCAAGCTCTGTTCGATTTGCAATTTTACATAGATTTTTAAAATTTTACTGCAATGTTGATTTGGGTTTTATAGTAAAATTAAAAGAAATAAACATTTTATAGCAATGGCCAGAAGGAATTCTAATTGATGTAGATGTTAAAATGCAAATTTTTTTTTATCAATATTGATTTGAATAAGATTTAAGAAGCTTTTTTTTTTCAAAATGGACTGGTGAACAAGAATAAAAACTTGTGGGAACTTAAGAAAAAAAAATTTTTTTTCTTCAAATTTCAAGTTAAACTATTGGGTATTATATTAACGGTTAAAATGAATTGAAATAGGTAAGAATTTAAATTACAGCCCTTCGATAAGGATTGGGTTTCATTTGATTAATCATTTGACAAAAAAAAAATGTGCTTCTGGCTAAAAAAAATACAAAATTTCAACTGTGCAATAATTTTTTTTTTGGCCTTTTAATGACTTTCTGCAGTTAAGTGATAGAAGTCTTTTGTACAGACCTTTTTCAAATTAATCTTCCATTTGGGTATTAAATTGAAGTTAACTGCTTAATTTAAAGTATTGAAGTTCAATTTATTTGAAATAATTAAATTAATTCTTTTTAAATGTCTGGGCAGAACCTCAAATTTTTTAAAATTTTGCTTGATTCAATGTGCAGTGTCAGTCAAAATTTTTGTCTAGATTTTAGTCCCACTTAAAATATATTCACTGGTTGATATCAGTTTCATCAATCACAGTAATAAATAAAATACTATTTGTCTCCATGTTTTTGTAGTTTAATGCAATTAAGAGCTTTAGTGAAGTTGCAGTTTTATATAGGTATTGAGAAAATAAGTTTAAGTAAATGAACATTATAAATTTTGATTTTAATTAATGTTAGTATAAATATAATTGTTAGTTGAACCTTATGGAGCATCCGTTAATTTATGTTCGTGATTCAGGCATATTGTCTCGTGCAAGATTTCATTGTTTCTACTTATTGGAAATGAAGTAATTTTATGAAACTCAATTAACAATTTTATATGGCAATGAATTCAGAGCAATTTTTTAATTCAGTAACAAATATTGCTGAGTGAAGTTTCACAAATTTTGGAATAATCTCATCTGATTTAAAGATGACCTATACCAATCAACAAGACATTAATGATTTTTAAATGGTGAATTAAAAGATGATTCACTAACTTGTGTACTAAAAAGTTATAGGCATATTCACTGTTTTATATAGAAGTTTTTAAAATCCTACCGTAATTATTTAAGTGAGTTTTTAATTTTATTATAAATATTTCATTAAATATTGGCATGAGGAAATAGTAACTAATTTATACTGGTTATTTTTAGCAACAGTGCTATAAAACTTACTGAAACTAGTTCTGAAAGTGATTCTAAAAATTTTTTTTTTTCTTTTGCCCTTATATGTAATATAGCAAGTTACAATTTTTAGTTTGCTCTTTTTAAACGTAGTCATGCATATAAAAAGTAAATATTACGAAAAATTTTTGGATTATTTTGAGTATATCTTTGGCTTTTTAATTTAAAATTCCTTTTTTATTAAAGTAAATCCATTTTTAATTTGGTTCAACTCTGTTTCTGTTTATTTCAAGCTGGCCTGTCTCTTACTGTAAAAGTTTTTCTGAAGCAGTAATAGGGATAGTTTGAGAAATTGCCAGCTTTACAACTCTAAAAATCATGAGCTGATTTGTTAAAAATTTTTAGGATATGTATTTTTTGCATTGTAATTTTTAAACAGGTGTTAACTGAACATTATTTACAAGAGACAAATACTAATTCATTACTTCATAATCAGCAGCGTTTAGCTCATGGTAATTACCTTTATCAAGTTATTGCTATTTGTGGACTGCCAAATTTATTCCTGTTTACCCCAAGTCTGTTTCAGCTTAAATTTTCAGTTAGTTAGCCCATTACTTAATCATCCTAAGAGAAAATACTTGAAATATAACTTTTGCCATTTTAAAATACTTAAATTGACTGTTAAAAGGTGCATCTTTTTCACTTTTTAATATTGTGCACTTGTAGTTAAAAATATACATTCATAAGTCAAAATTTTTCTTTTAGAACACAGATTAAAATTTTTTTAAATCTAAAATATTCAACTTATTTATAGTGAAACTTGTTGAATTCTAGTTAAAGGATCATTAACTTAATTTTTTTTACTTAGCACTATTAATAAATTCCACTGAAATGTTATAAATTTAAATTTTTTAATGATTTAACATCTTACATTTATACTGTAAAAGTATGTAATTCTGAGGTGCCAAATTTTGAAATTAGGGACTGATCATTATTAAATTTCCTACTATCTGATTTTCATCTAAGTTCTTCGGTCTGGTGACTATGAAGTGAATTACTAATTTCCTCAATTACAGTAATAAATCTTCAGGGATTGAACTCAGCAGTTAAAAAAATTTATCTTAGTCGTTAAAGAACTTCTGATATAGTGATGTAAAAAATTTTCAAGAAACAAACAATCCACAAACACAGTTTTTCAAAAAAAAAAAGTGTGAATATTGATTTTGAAATAATTAAATCTCTAAGTTTTGTCCAATTATAAGTTTTTGCGATAGTGGATTGAGATTTTTAATGCTCTCTTATTTACTTTCTAATTCCTTAACTATTACACCTACAATAAAAAGATGTGATCATACTGTTTCATAAAAAATACGTTGCAATTTCAAATTTAGCACTTGGGGGTGTTTAACGAATGCTGTGTAAATAATTTTTTTCGTAGTTTCTTCTAGTTCATTTCTGAAACTTAATAAATGCATAGTAAAAAGTAAATTTTTGTAAAGCATTTTAATCTTTTGCATTTTTTGAGTATAAATTATGTTTTGGGACATAGTGTAATGCATCCTTAACTATTTTCATTGCTCCGTATTTCCTGAAATATTAATGCAATAAATGCTATGTTTTTGTAGTAAATTTTGTACAAATTATTTTACACCTGAAATAAGTTTAGCATGAACCCTTATTTTTTCAAAATTAGCCAGCTCAAATAGCTTAAGGGGGTCACACAACTTCCTATATCCGAAAGTCTAGCTAGCGCAGATTTTAATCAATGGAGTCTACTGCCCCTTTTTTAAAAATTTATTTTTAAGAACTAGAAACTGTAGGCATTACAATCTCTCAAAGTTAATTAATTTCTCATCACTATGCTGTAGTTTTAAAATTCACATTAACTTAGAATGCAAGTCTGTTAGATTTAGTGACAAATTTCTGATCATTCATTACATTTAAACTATTAGATTTCTGATTTGTTATTGCGTCTCTGCTCCTGTATTTTCACGTTTTATTATATTAAATTGTAATCCAAAGAAACGGGCAGGGATGTCATTCTCGACACTAGGCTTCCAAATGAAAACTTAAGTTTAAAACACACATCACTAAATTCATTCACGAGGACTTTCAATAGGCTAATCAAAAAGCCAGTTTTTTGTTAGTCAAGACCAATTTTGTTTTCATATCCTGTTTTATTTTCTAATTTCTAGAAACTTGATATTTTTGTAGGAAATCTTACGTACATAATTATTTTTAGCCTGCAGTTAAGGTATTGTGAAAGACTTAAAAGCAGAAATCAAAGATGTCCTTAATTATTAAAAATTTCAATAAATGTCCTGACATTTTTGTAGAAACTTCAGCTAGAATAAATATTTATCTAAGAAAGAATTGAAGAAATTTCAAGTTCAGAAAGTTTGTTATATGATATGAAACAAAATGAATGCGTAAGTCTTCATAGCATGTTAAGTATGGCATTAGTTCACTTCCATTGTTAGAAACAATTACCCTTGACTTGATGGTATAGAACATATATGTGAGAAAATTATAAAAATCTCTCCTCCCATCACTACATAGATTTTTACGTAACTTTTTTTTTCTTCAAGAAAAAGAAATCTTTAGTTTTCTTAAATGTTTCTTTTTTGCTTAAGTGCAGGAACTTCTGAAACTACTACCAATTGTATATCTGCGAGTCCAGTTTTGTAACCTGAAAATTGCTCCCATTCGAAGATTTAGGCCTTAATTTTTATATTCTGGACTTCCAGCCCTGTTTAATGCTATTTCATGTAGTCATCGTCTTTTAGTGGTCTTACCAAAGATATTGATGTATGAAAA